CCAAGAACCTGGCAGCACTGCCCACACAGTTAACACATCGACAGGATGCAATACCATTGCAGCAACCTTACAGTTTGCATTTTCATAGAGCCTAGCGGAATCACAAAACATCATGCCAAGGCACTTTCTGGAGCCCTATCCAGTCAAACATAACACTTAGCCCCCACTGCATTAGTCTTTCAGGGTATGAGGGTCTCCTGGCAGGGCCTGCACGCATAACCTGTCCCCAACTGCATCTCAGCTACACAGTCTGCCACATTAAGTTATACAGGACGTTGGTGAGGCCTCTTCTGGAACACTGCGTGTAGATCTGGTCACCCTGTTAAGGGAAGGATATTATTAAGCTGGACAGAGTTCAGAAGAGATTTACCAGGATGTTGCTGGGAATGGAGGGTTTGAGTTATACAAATAGACTGGAAAGACTGGGACTCTTCTCATTGGCGTGTTGAAGGTTGAGGGTTGACCTTACTGAGGCTTATAAAACCATGACAAGTGAGTGGCAGGTCTTTTCCCCAGGATGGAGGAGTTCTAAACTAGGGGACATATTTTTAAGGTGAGAGGAGAAAGATTTAAAAAGGACATCAGGGGCAACTTTTTTTCTTACACAGAGTGGTTTGTGTGTGTGGAATGAACTGCCTGAGGAAGTGGTTGACGCAGGTACTGTTACAACGTTTAAATGACATTTGGATGAGTTCATGAACAAGAAAGGTTCGGAAGGATATGGGCCAAGTGCAGGTAGGTGGGACTAGTTTAGTTTGGGAACATGGTCGGCATGGACTGGTTGGAGCCAAGGGTGTGTTTCCGTGGACCTGAAGTTCTTCATAGGTCCCACTAGTTCAGAATAGCAGACTGCCCTCTGTAAAGGACGTTATGAACTAGCTGGCTTTTTGTTACAATTGATTATAGTTTCACGATTGCTATTACACAGATGAGTTTTGCATTCAAGATGCACTAATGTAATTTATATTCCACCAGCTGCAATGGTAGGATTTAAACCTGTTAGCATAGCATTCGCCCAGATTGCTAGCCTACTGACATAACCAATAAACCACCATCTCTCCTCCCATCTCTTTCTATTTTCTTCTTAAGCCTTTCCATTTTTATCCCTCGAGGTCTCTTAGTCTTTTCTTCCCTTTGGTCAATTTGCTTCTCTTCTTCCCTCTGAGTACCTCCACAGAGAGTCAAACTGCTCAGATCTTTTCTTGCTTTAGCAGCACACCACGCCAGCTGCTACCAGCCCGCAGTCCGCCTTTCCTCCCAGGGTCTCTCCTATCCTAACATTCTGAAAGCTTTTCTTGACAGCCCAAATACCTTCATCCACCACCTTTTGTCGATTGGATCATTTCTCTCACTCTCACGGATGCAGGCACTGAAACAGCAGGTTTGTAATGAGGCTCGTAGCATACAAGTGGCTGGAATGGTACATCACTAAGTTAGCCCTTGCCATCGTACCTCCTAGCTTCACAGAGCAGAACCACAGAACAGCACAGGAGGAAGCCATTCGGCACATCATGCCAATGCAACCTCTTGGCAAGTGCAGGTCAACAAGTACCACAAACCTCTCTACAATTTTCTTTTCTTCAGATAATTCCTGTTACAAAGCCCTGACTGGACATGCTTGCACTGTCAGGCTGTTCATTCCAGATAGGAACCACACTGAGTAAAAATGCCTCTTTCTTGTGTTGCCTTTCATTATTTTGTTATACACCTTATGTCACTGCACTCTGGTTCTCAATAAAACCCACTAAAGTAAACTGATTCCCCCATTCTCTCCATCCAGACTTCTTGCGATGTTCTAGAGCTCTATCAAATCTCCTCTTAGCCTTCTTTACTCCAAACAAAGCCTAACTTCTTCAAGACAACAAGGTGCAGAGCTGGATGAGCACAGCAGGCCAAGCAGCATCATAGGAGCAGAGAGGCTGACGTTTCGGGCCTAGACCCTTCATCAGAAAAGGGGGAGGGGAAGGGGGCTCTGAAATAAATAGGGAGAGAGTGGGAGGCGGATAGAAGAGGGATAGAGGAGAGGATAGGTGGAGAGGAAACAAACAGGTCGAAGAGGCGGGGTTGGAGCCAGGAAAGGTGAGTGTAGGTAGGGAGTTAGGAAGGGGATAGGTCAGTCCAGGGAGGACGGACAGGTCAAGGGGGCGGGATGAGGTTGGTCGGTAGGAGATGGAGGTGCGGCTTGAGGTGGGAGGAGGGGATAGGTGGGAGGAAGAACAGGTTAGGGAGGCAGGGACGAG